TGTATTTCAAGCCAAATTTACCAGAAACTGAATTCATATTAATAATCTCCATAAAATGACCATATTCTTTATATATGTGTGTGTGTGTGTGTGTGTGTGTGTGTGATTATTTGCTGAAATACGAGACCTAAACTAATCATTTACCGTAAATCATATTATTAAGCTCCATAAAATGGCTATATTCTTTTGTATATGATTATTTGACATAACTCTCTCCCAAATGCATTTTTTGCATCCATACAATTCAAACTCAACATCTAAACTATTATTTAATAGGCCCTTCAATTTAATTACAAGTTTACAACCAATTTTGACTTGGACTTTATCAAGCCGGAATTTAGGGAATTCGTCTGTTTTTTTTTTTTTTTTTATATGTACAAACTCAAACGTATGAACTATATTGATTTTGTTTAAGTGAAATCTAACTGCTTTTGCTCGGACTAATTTATATTGGTAGACTCCATTAATCTTTTAAATATAAGTGTCTGATGTGATTAGTTAATATTACTATCACTTTAGAAATTTTTAGCAGAGATTAACTGTTCTAATATGGTAATTAAATTTTATTATAACATCTAAATATAATTGTGTAATTATTTGTGGTTAGGGTCATATTTAATGATATGCACTTACGATTTGCTTTATGCTTTCCCCACCCAAATCATTTTCTCTACTTCATTATCACTTAGCTCCTAAGAAATATACGCATCCATATCGTCCTCTCTCTTTCCTTCTTTATATCTCCGTCGTTTTCTTTCTTCTGTTTTATATTTTTACTTCAACCTTTTATATATTCTTTTCTTTCATCGCAACCATAATGATTACATTAACATTATACAACTCCTTTTTGGATCTATGACTTTTCCCTGTCAATTCTTTTTTTTAGAGAAATACTTATTTATCAACAGGTCTTGAGCGGGTAAATATGATTTTCAACAAAATGTTGATGATGTTGTTTATTCACAAAAATAATATATCCAAAATTCAATAAGTAGAAACGATTTATTTTACAATTTTAAACTTGTAAATATGGAAATTAAACTTTTAAATTTTTTTATATCTCTCTTTGTTTAATTTTAATCTGGAGGGGTGATTTTTCTTTTGTTTTTTTTTTTTGTATCCTGGCTTAATAACGTTTAGGTTTTTTTTCTTTTGCTAAAATATAAATATTTTTCTATTAAAGACAATTCTATTTAACATTCTCTTGGCTTAACAATGTTTAGTTAATACTGCTATTAAATTCACAAATTAGCCGGTAATGTCATTTCGCAGTTTAATTAAGGTGGCGGGCAGGGGTACTAGTACAATACATTTGTACCTCTGGAATGAACGAAAGGCGGGTGGAGCCCACAAGCCCATAACCCGATAAAGACGTCTCATGTGGCGTCGATTGCTGTGTTACTGTTTGACACGTGGCAAAGTATGCCAGCGTGGTCCGAAGAGGCTACAGCTCACATGTGGCCCCCCATCATTGACCTCAATACTCGATAAAATTTTTTACAGGTCATATATACAATTAACGTAAAAAATTTAACAATTTTACAAACATAGCACTCATTATAGTTTTGTGCGTATTTTGTTTACCAAAAAAAGAATTTTTTTAAAAAATATTATTATATTAATTGAGATAAAACTCATTTTACATATTTATTTTGTATATTATAAAATTATTTTTAAAATCATGATTTGATTTTCACTATTTGGTAACACCTAGCAACACTTAAAGAAAAAAAAAACCACTTTCATGGAATGAGTTAAAATCCTTTTTACATAGACAACTTATTTTTCCCTTAAATTCAACAAATAGACTCTAGTAATTTGAAGTAACAAGTAGTTTTCTACTACCTCCTATTCTTAATATAGATTTTATTTAAATTTTATTTTAGTTTTAAATATAAAATCCAATTCACTGTGTCTCTTATATTTATGTATTTTTTCCCAAAACAGTTATTCTAATAATAATAGTTCTAATTAATACACTTGATTAGTAAATATATTTAAAAAAATGATACATATTTATTACAAATAACTAAATTAATTTATTTTGTTTAATATTTTTAAATTAATTAATTAGTTTTTATATTTAAAATAGGAGGTAGGATTTATTAGGATGGCTCATGCTACAAACATCCTTCGGTCAAATAAATATTTCTTACCTTCCACTCATGCGCATTGCAAGCGACGTGGCCGTTACATGTCGTTTATTGTTGGTGGCAGCTGGCTTTTACCACAACGACACGGTATCCTCGGCCCCTCATCCCCTATCTTTTGTTTGTTTGTATTTTTACCAAACATCACTATTTATCTAACGATCAACATGATATCATATCTGTGTGTGTATAAACAAATTATATAATAATTTTTAGTGTTTATAAATTATAAACACTGTAATTTACTCATTAAATTTTATGTAATGAATAAAATATACTAGTTCATCGTTAAATTAAGTGTTTAGTTTAGCTAAATCAATCGATTTAAATGAATATATGACTAAATTTTGTGACTTTAATTAGGTATCTGTGCATTTTACGAAATACTAAATCATGTTGTTTTTCCGTCCGTGCTTGTTATAAATCAATATAAGTTGTAGAATATAGAAAATACTACTTTATACTCCATGTCCCTAACTATGAGATAAAGCTTTTTTTCTTCTTCTTTTTTTTTTTTTTGACATATGAGATAAAACTTTGAAGGTCGAGGTGCCCTTTTCAATAGTATAATTTTTTGGAAAATACATGTATCAACTTGTTTATTTATATAGCCGCATATAGTCATGTATACAGAACTTAACATAATATATTATCTTCGATCCTAATTATACAAATGAGTTGTTGTAACTAGGATCAGAAGTAGTATATAACTTGATGTGAATTTTTTTTCAATGAAAGTACTTTTCATAATTTTATGATATTTGAATTAAGTATGAGAGAAATTTTATTTTTTTATGTGAAATTTTTTTAAAAAAATTCCTCTCAAACCGACCCGAAATTAATTTTTCATTTCATTCAAGGAGATCCCAGGATCCAACTAGATACCCTCCTTGTTAGATAAAAGCGTATCTAGCAAGCTCAAAAGACTTTTTTTCAAAAAACAAAGGAAATTCCAGCTCTTATTTCCATTACCAGGAGACATGTCATCTCAATTTCTCCTTCTGCTTTGTGTTCCCGCTCTGCGTCTCTCCCTCTCTCTCTCTCTGTTGGAAACAGCTTCTATAAAAGACAAATCAAATGCAATGATCTCCATGGCTTCTGGGGGAGGAAAACCAAACACGACCCTTTTCTGTCTCTCCTCCTAGACTCATTTCATTCCATTCCATCAACTCACATTAATAATAATGGCCAAGTGGAAGAGGAAGAACTCCCCCAAGCAGCTGTCCTACATCTCAGTCCCCTCACAGATCATCAACCCCATTTCCTCATCATCTCTCCAATCTCTGCTTGACTCTCCCAAGAAATCTTCAAGGAACCATAATGCCTTCTTCTTCATTAATGGCTTCTTCGCCAGACACTCAAAACTACTCTGTTTTTTCACTCTCCTTTCCCCTTTCCTTCCTTGGCATTCTCATGTTCGTCCCCTTTTTCTCTCCCTACCCTTGTGCTATAACTCTACCAAATGTTTCAATCTCCAGTAGTTATCATTAAAATCCGAACTTGGTGCTATTTCCTCATATGGGCATGCCTCAAAATCCGAGCTTGAGGCTTTTTCCTCTGAGAATGGAAGAAAGAAGAAGATGAAGCAGGGGATTCGGAGTTTTGGAACAACCAGATGGATTGGGGTATAGGCCATGTTTGGATTTCAACAAAGAGTTCAAAAGAGAAAGTGAAAGGATTGTGAAGGAAAAGAGAAAGTATTTGATGGTTGTGGTTGCTGGAGGACTGAATCAACAGAGGAATCAGATTGTGGATGCTGTTGTAATTGCTAGAATTCTTGGGGCCGCTTTGGTTGTCCCTATTTTGCAGGTCAACGTCATTTGGGGCGACGAAAGGTAAACATGACAGACCCACAAGTTCAGACTTCCAAAAATTTTCTCCAGAAACACCACATTAATTAACAAGTTGGTAATGAAATGAAGATAAGTATCTAAATATGGTTGAGCAGTAATTAAACTTTCAACGAAGGTTAAGTTTTTGGCTGGGCAATGGAAGCTGGGAACGATCTAAAGACTTAATGAATGTTTACTGAAAAGTTTAATATTGATTTGGTTGCAGTGAATTTGGGGAAATATTTGATTTGGAACACTTCAAGAGAGTTCTTAGGGACGAAGTGAGAGTGGTATCAGCATTGCCTTCAACGCACCTCATGACAAGGCCTGTGGAGGCAAGCCCTCCTCTTCATGTCACTCCTGCTTGGATCCGTTCTCGTTATCTCAAAAGGGTATGAAATGTGTTCTGCTTTTGTTCTTTAAATGTCCCCTTCTATGCTCCAATTAAATAGGTTTGATCTTCTATGATCTTTTGTTCCTGTCCCCTCCAAATGTACACAAAGTAGGAGGGAACAGAACCATTTGATTTGGAGGCAAGATGAGCTTCATTTGGTTTCTATTTTGACTTTTTACATGCTCTTTTCTAGTTTAGTTTTATTTGCATAACTTATACTTGAGTCAGAAGAGTATTAAAAAATTAATTAGGTCTTTACCTTTAAATGTCCATTTGAGGCCATAAAATTTTGTAGAGTCAGTGATTTCATTTTCACTTTCAGAATATCATCTGTGGTAGGATCGAATGAGAGCTAAAAGGCTCAACGACAATGATCAAATTAAAAATATTTAAAATAATTGAGACTCACTTATAAGATGTTAAATTTAAAAAGAATAAACTAAAATAAAATTTTAGTGAAATCCATGAAGCAACAAAATATTTACAAGGAAACACTATTATTTGATCACATTTGTCGATGACATAGGCAATGACATGGTTATAAATCTAATGTTTTAGACAAGAACTTTGATCAACTTTCAACCCCCATGTGTGCTTATTGGGTGCAATTCCATTTGTGGTTGATTCATAAGCTTTGTCCACTGATAACTAAGGAAAACTTAGGTTTCTCCCAGTAAAGTGTGGTAATAATATGATTTTGTTGTCCTCTCTCAACAGCTCAAAAGAGAAGGTGTTTTGCTCTTACGTGGCTTGGATTCTAGGCTGTCCAAGGATCTTCCTCCCGATCTTCAGAAACTTCGATGCAAGGTATTGCGCTTCTTTCTTTAATTCATCAATTTGACCCTTTTAGTTTGAAGTAATTTCATTCAACTCTTTCTTGAATTTTAGAGGATTTAGATTCAATACAGTTTGTGTGTTTTCAATTCAATCTCCACCTTTTGTTTTTGATCCACTCCGTCACTAAATTGTCATTTGGTTTGAGCTTCAAACAGACATAATTCCACTTGGTGAACCAAATGATGATTCAACTCAAATAATGAAACTATTTCCAACACGATTGAACTAAAATTTGACAAACTGCATTGAATCCGTACACTAACAGTGGCAAATTGTGTTAATCTACATTCAATGAAGCCTCTCTTTTTTTTTTTGGGGGGGGGGTCAGGTTGCTTTTCACGCACTAAAGTTTGCAAAACCAGTGGAGGAAATTGGGAACAAGATTGCAGAGAGAATGAGGAGAAATGGACCCTACATAGCTCTGCATCTGAGAATGGAAAAGGATGTGTGGGTGAGAACAGGATGCCTGCCAGGTCTCCAGCCACAGTATGATGAGATTATCTACAATGAAAGGATGCAGCGCCCAGAGCTCTTAACTGCAAGATCAAACATGACTTATCATCAGAGGAAACTGGCCGGCCTCTGTCCCTTGAATGCCATGGAGGTTTCCAGGTAGGGGCGTGCGTGTGTGTTCAAGTCTAAGAGAAAACCATATAACTTCCTCTAATGAACTATTGGGTCGTATTTATAGGCTGCTGAAAGCTCTAGGAGCTTCAAAAAGCGCGAGAATTTACTGGGCTGGAGGGCAACCGCTGGGTGGAAAAGAAGCATTGCTTCCTATAATTAGAGAGTTTCCACACTTTTACAATAAAGAAGATCTCGCCTTGCCAGGAGAACTAGAGCCTTTCAGAAACAAGGCTTCTCTAATGGCTGCCATAGATTACATAGTCTCTGATAAGAGTGATGTTTTCATGCCTTCTCACGGAGGAAACATGGGCCACGCACTTCAGGTATGCTTCATAGTGGTTCATCCACCCTCTAACTTAGTTACTTCGTATATATAAACCAGATGGAACAATAATTTGCAGGGCCACCGAGCTTATGCAGGGCACAAGAAATACATAACCCCAAACAAAAGACAAATGCTTCATTACTTTATGAATTCTTCTCTCCCAGAAGCAGAGTTCAACAGAATCATCAAGGAATTGCACAAAGACTCATTAGGGCAGCCTGAACTCAGAACAAGCAAGGCTCAAAGGGATGTCACCAAATATCCTGTCCCAGAGTGCATGTGCAATGATTCACATGCACCTTCCTTCATATAACTCAACGTCATAGGCTCTGGGCTGATTACTCGACAGAAATAGTGAATGCTCCTGACACGGGAGTTGGCTCTAGTTTTGGTTGGTCCTATTATTTTTGGAAAGCAACTTGGGAGATTTGTAGGGAAACTCTCACCGCAGGTGCACTCACGTCATTCCTTAAACATACTAAATTATCATTCCTTAATTCTTTATGCCAAAAGCTCGTAAAGGCTGCTAGAAGTCTCGCCACAAACAATCTTGTGTTCAGTTTCAACTCTAGTAATATTAAATGAAAGAATTAAAATGTGTAGTTTCAAATCTGTAAATTTAGGTTTGAGCAGTGGGGAAAAAAAAATTTCATATACACATCACCAGGCACCAGCCATGAATAATAATTAATATATCAATATATATAATATTTATAACAAGCTGTACTAATCACAAATTATGAATAGCGCTCGTTTTTTCAAAACCAACGTACAAGTGCGTCTAGTTATTGGTATAAGTTGAAGCATTGCCAAATCGACCCCCCTTTCTTTGTTGGGGGGGGGGGGGGGGACCGTTCCAACTTGTCTAATAGCTTGATTTTGGCATTTTGATGTGATAATGTATTTGTGAAATAAATACAACTAGCCCCAAAATGTTTAATGAACATGGGCATGGTTATAGACCATAAGATTCAGCATAGCAGCAAAGAAAAGTTGAATAAATCAAATCACAGTCACAAAACAATGAGGCTAATGACATAATTTAGTGACCGCAGAACCTGTTTGATTCTTCTATTGTAATTTGTCATGAATGAGAAATGAGACAAAAATTTTCTCCTCAGTGCTTGAGATTTTGAGGTGGCAAATATCCATTCCAAGCTCCAACTTGTAGTACCAGATTTTGCTGTTAAGACCCACTTCTGCTTAAATAGGAAGCAGCAAGGACACCAATACCCCCGGAAGTTTTTGCCTGCCTGGTTTTCCACTTCCCATAATTATATCAACATCTTCAAATTGAGGAGTCGCCTTCTCACAAGTTGCTCAGATTACATTAATAATGCCCATCACGCTTCACAGTTAGAAGTCGTCGCCTTCTCAGACTGCATCAATAATGCCCATCATGCCTCAAGCAAGCATGATTCTTCTTTTGAAGAAATTGACCAAAATGGTGATAGTGCCACTACTTTTCCAATTATGATAAGTGTTGGCGACACCAGTTGAGCAGATGAAATTTTCTCAGCAAGGTCCTTCAGTTCTGAAAAAACCTGCATTATTGCAAATAGTAAAATCAGTTGTTAAAACTGATTACCCGAAAAGCTCAGCCTTAAAGCATCCATTATGCAGAAAGTTGACTAAGAAACAAAATGATCACCTGGAGTAAGTGAACTCCTGATTAAAGAATTGAATCAATAAGTGATCATACAGTCAAAGTAGAACGAAGAAAGCAGCTATTGGTAATGAATAGAACAATGATATTAATAATACTCACTGTGCGTTGTTGGGGTGTGGTCCCTCGCTCAATGGCTGCAGCTGGGGTCTGAGGGGATAGACCATGATCCATTAACTTCTTGGCCAGTGAAGGTAGGGTTGACAAGCCCATATAAACAACCAAGGTCGAATCAGGATCAGCTGCGGTTTCTGCTACAAATAGAGGATCTGTTCCACCTTTCCTTGAATGTCCTGTGAGAAACCTCACGCTCATTGAAATGCCACGGTGAGTCAATGGAATCCCCAGCTCTGCTGCAATCCCCGATGCTGCAGTTATACCTGAAGCAGTGAGAACACTGATTATTTCAGGATCACCATGTCTTCTCCTATTGAAAACACTCATAGAACTCACAGATCCACGCACATCTCGTACAAGATGAATGAGTGTAACAGAAATTGTGCTTCATGCTTTGTGTAGTACTTTTTCGCACACGTGCACATAAATATTTTACATATAGGTCATTAGGTCTTGTGTTATTTCAGGACATTCAAATGTTTAAACTGTATATAGTGGCAAAAAAGTAACACTTTCTTGTTCTCTATTTAAAAGCAATGAGACGTATTGTGGCCAAGATATAAAACTATGACGGTTATCATCTTTCCGGAACATTTTAGATATTACAAATATAATCCTCAATATAAGACTCAGACGGACATACAAAATGAAAATACATAAAAGTAAATATAGGTTTCATGTCATAATTACGAATCATTTCTACAATGTCTTTGTATCATTCTTCGTGTAAGCTACTATACATGCAACAGCGGAGGAGCTAACCAACACTTCATAAGAAATTGCAACTGTTGCATACCTGGAATAACTTTTACATGAATACCTTGCTGTTGCAGAAAATCCATTTCTTCCCCACCTCTCCCAAACACCTAAAAATGCCCAATAGTAAGTATTTAAAAGATTCCACAGTTCGCAACAGAAATCACAAAAGGGGTAATTCATTAAATTAGTGGGGGGAAAATGTCACTCAAGACCCTCCCAAGTGAAAACTCACCAATGGATCACCTCCTTTAAGTCTCACAACAGTAGCTCCAGCTTCTGCAAAACTCAGAAGAAGCTCATGTATTTCCTCCTGCCAAAAAGTTTACCAGAAGAAAACAAATTAACTTTCACTGACATTAAGGCATGGAATGGCTCTATAGCAATGAAGGAAATGCCAAAAAATCGAAATCCACAAAGAAATTCCCGCAGAGACTCAGCCACTTGCTAAGAACTACAGACGACAACACAGGTATAAAACACAACATAAAAACAACCTCAGAACATGACGAATTATGAAGTGATCAAGGGTAATTTGAAGTATTGTATAGTATGTGATACGAGTGTGCGGTTCCCTAATAAAACCCAATATTCCACTGAAATTCACAACAAAGATAATCCTCTTTATTTATTTTACCTGGGTTCTGCTGTGGTACCCCGCAGTTTTACCCACATAGAGAAGCTTAGCATCAGGACCAACCAAATCCAACACATCATTCGACACCAATCTATCATACAACAACAAATCAGCATTCTTTATAATCCTAACCGCCTTCAACGTCAAGAGCTCAGGATCCCCCGGCCCAGTTCCGACCAAGAACACATTCCCCTTGGGAGAACCGTCACCTCCGCCGCCGCACTTCCCTTCACTTTCCCTCTTCTCTCTAAGCACCTGAAGCAACTTGTTCAGCTCCGGGAGCTGCAGGGCAATCTCGTCCTCCCTGATGGATCCCGAAGAGGATGGGAGAGGGCAGGACAGAGTTTGCCCCAATTGGTTCTCGTAAATCCATAGGTCCCTTTGGTACTTCTCGATGGAATGCTTCTCAGTGAAAGGCGAAGTAGAGAGATTGCAGTTAAATGAACAATTGGGTGGTAGGTTCGACGCGTGGGCGTTTCTGGAATGAGGTGAACTGCACAGAGAAGAAGAGAAAGATGCAAACTTGGGAACAAGAGCCATAATGTAGAGCTGTAGAGAGATTAGGAAGATACTGGGAATTGGATTCTCATATATGAGCTGATGAAAAAGAAGAGGACGCGTTGAGAAGGAGGGAAAAAAGGGACAAACGGTATCCCCGGCCCACGAAGCTTGACTGGGATGGAACTTGGAGGGAGGGAGAAGGCAAAGTTGCTTTTGGGGATTTTGGAGGGACGTTATGCCTTTTCCCTAGTTGATGATCGGGTCGGGTTTTTGGGTGGGACGGAGCTTCGTTTATATGCTAACCAATTGTTATACGCCAGTTGTCAGTAAATGTACAGATGCGGCCTCGTCTGTCACAGGTGGCAGAATTTGGAGTAATTTGAATAAGAGGCGGAGATGTAGATCATCACGACCTTCAGGGACCTGTACAGAGCAAGGGGACGCCGAATGCAAGCCATATGCGGCGGCTGCAGCAGACTTTTTTTTTTTTTTTTTTTAAATATTCCTCACCTAAGAAAATGAATCCATCCTATTCATGTAGGATTGAACTTGTAATTTCATATTTTAAAAAAAAACTTAAAAATTATTAAGTATCTTCGACCTGCATTTTATCGATTAATAACTCTTATACTATGACCTGACCCCTAATTCGAAGCCTTCCCTTCACATTGGCTGTGGTGATAAATTTTTCTTGGGCTTTTTAGCTCTATCTTTCATATCTCATTTATCACTTGGCAAAAAAGTCTTTTTTTATTTATAATTTTTCTTCTTACTGTATTCATGTAATTCTTAAAAGTAGTTTTACTTCGTATATGATTGTCTATAATATTTAATCTCTCGTTTGCACATGAATTTTTTATTTATTTTGTAAAATCAATCAATCAAAGATAATATAAGAACACAAACCAGCAAATCACACTACAAATCATAAAATTTATTCTTCAGAGTACCTCCCCGTACACTACTCAGGACAAAGCATAATTTATTCATATTTTTGAATAAATAACGATTTATATCTTTAATATTATTAAAAGACATCATACTTTCATCTTTTAAGAAGATAAATATTTACCAACAAATTGTTAATTAAAATGGTAAGCGGTTTCGTCTTTGTAAGGAAGAGAACACAAATTCAAATCTCGAGAAGCATACTTATTAGAATGGCCTTAACCTTAACGCTTTTGGTCTGACAGAGATTAATTTCAAACTCAAAGTGACTTACCAACAAGTTTGCCATATAAGTTGTTGGTTAAGACAATAAGCGGTCTTATCTCCATAAGAAAAAAAACTAGAAGAGCTTTAATTTTAATGTTTTCGGTCCACAGATAAGTCTTGAATCTAAAATAACTTGAGAATATTCTGAGTTATTAAAAAAAAAGATAATACTTAGAAGTGTCATCTTTAAAATTAAAACAAGCCAATGACACAATACTGAGTAAAAAAAAAAAAGAGCTCAATTTCATAAAGCGTTATCAAACTAGAAATAAATGAAGGAAGGATAGAATTGGAAAAGAAATAGATACTACGTGTCATATATTTTAAACTATAAATATTATCTTAAAAATAAATTAATACTCTCCGGTCCTTATTATAAGACCCCAATCCATTTTGTCTCTTATATTATGCATTTTTTTCTAAGATAATCCTTCTAATAATGATAGTTTTAGCCAATATACTTAATTAGCAAAGATATTTTAGGAATGACACACACTTATTTATTATAAATAACCAACTTAACTTACTTCCTTAATCTCCTCAAATAAGTCAATTGGGTCTTATAATTAGGACCGAAGGAGTACCATAGAATAGCCACTCATATTTTATGAACAATACATGTATGGGGAATTGTTTAGCATAGTTTAATATATACTTTAATTACAGTATTTTTTTTAAAAAAAATTAATTATCAAATCTCTATGATTTCGCTTGATTTTTACTGGGTTCTTCGTATATTTTTCTTTTTATTAAGATGTTATAGTTTCGCCTAATTTTTAATTAGGTTCATGTGAGCTGTAGTTTTTTTTTCTTATATTTATCAAATTCTTATAATAAAAAAAAGGTTTTGACCATTTAATTATGAGATCTCTTGTTCGAGTTGTCTTTGAAAAAATTACTTTTAATTAGTACCAATGATCATCAAATACTACCTTTGGTCTTTAATATAAGATTTTATTTGACTTTTATTTTGGTCCTAAATAGAAGAACTCAATCCACTTTGTTTATCATATTTATGCATTTTTTTCGAAATAGTTCTTCTAACAACGGTAGATCTAACTAATATACTTGGTTAGCGATGATATTTTAAAAAAGACAACACATATTTATTACAAATAACTAATTTAACTTCTTTCCTTAATCTCTTCAAATTAGTCAACTAACTCTTATAATTATGACCAGAGGTAATATAATCTAATTAGATAGCCATATAAACAAAGTACTAATATTGTAATATCAATTTCATAAAAATGTATTTAACGATAATGATGAAATTTTATTTTGGTTTGAACGAAATTTGGACCCTACTTCAATTTCTGACTCCAATATTTGTTGTAAAATAGTACGAGTAAAACAATTTTTAAAAAAACAGAGAGAGATAGAGCAACAAGAAAGAGAGAGAATAAAAATAATAGAAATACTTTTGTTTATTTTATTCCTCGAGTGAGATAGGCATGAGAGCACAGCTCAATATTGTATAAGTCAATGGAATCATAAAATAATTAATTGTAAACTAATGAATCATAATTTATATTTCATGCTATAAAAAAAAATCACAAGAAGAGTCATATAGTTATGAACTTCAAGTTATAATAATACTAACCCTGAAAAAAATAAAAAATATGACAGGACATTAGAAATAGACATCCACATGCTTTGTGTCCATGGCAATATTATGATCGTAATTTTTCTCAAAAGAAAAAACAGTTGGTGCATCATTTTAGAATTACTAGTATTATATTCATTTATCGATGCTACGAGCTAGACGTAATTATTGACCCCAAGGATCGCCTTAGTTAATTTAAAAAAATGATTATAGCATAAATAATACTATTCGACTCAAGGATGCTGTCCTGATCCTATGGAGCGCAGGTGCATGAAATGGGCATGTGACCAAATTATTAGGGTATATGCATAAGAAATTGGGATGGAAATAGTTATACATATATTCAATTAATTTATATATATTTGTGTATATAGTTAAATGAATATTTTAAAAGTAAAACAAAGATATTTTAGAATCAAAAAAGTGAAATATGTTGGGTAATTAGCTCTTGAAGACTTGAATGGTTATTCAATAAATTAACCTCAAGTTATGTAGTATCAAAATTAACATGTAAGATATCATTGTTGTGGACTATTACCTCATGTCCTAATTATAAAACAAATGAGGTATTATTTTTATTGAAATTTTACAAGCTCATATATATATATATATATATATATTAATCATCTATGTATAAGCTATCATCCATATTTCTGTCGGCAGAAACTGAAAGTAAAATAATTATTTGCCGTAAGAACAGAGAGAAAATCACAGGTACAAAAGAGAAGCGATTAATTCATCACTTCAATTCACAGAATTAATTATGATAGAGCAACAAAAAAGAAGGAACATAAACTTTCTCTCATGGAGGTCATAGATTCATAGCGATGATCGTCAACGTACGTCTTCTTTGATCACATCAGAAAGAGATCAGATGGGGTGGAAGAAGATGAAGAGAGCTATCTATCTATATATATATATATATATATAGAGAGAGAGAGAGAGAGAGAGAGCAGCTATAAGCGAGAAGGTTGAGAATTAAGAGGGAAGTAAGAAACAACAATGGGAGCTTCAGATTTCTGAATCTGTGTGTGTCTCAGCGTTAAAGAACCTGCTTCCACCGCATGCCCCTTATTGCTTTCATCTTCTTTTCTGTGCTTCGATGAAGAAGAAGAAGACGAAGCTGATGCTGATGATGATTTGGCCGTGAAGCAGCAGAACATGGTGGCTCACACACAGGAAAGTTGTATTGCTTTATGAGTTCATTACAATGCAAGAGGAAGAAGGATGCGCTGTTTTATATATATATAAAAGCTAGGAAGATAAAGAGCAGGATATATTTGGTATTCTGCCTTTCTTTTAAAGTTTTTGCTTGCTCCCCAAGTTCATTAATTATGTGTCTAGTGCTTGACTTTGACTTTAACACTACCAACCTTCTAACCTCTGAATACTATATACATACATATATATATATATATATCCTCTCTTGAGTAGTTTTTTTTTTTTCCCCCTTCGTTCCTAGAAGGAAGGTGGGATGCCTCTTTCCTTTGTAGCGTTCATGTCCCTATCAGTGGACAAAAACCAAAACAGAAAAGCACATGATCTTCTTACTATGATGTATCCTGCGTCTTTATCTTCCTTTCATGAACATATACATTTAGTACTGTTCTGATCCTAAACATAATATTCATTTTATAATGTAAACTATACTATAAAATGGGTTTTATATTTAAGATCAGAAAAGTATTATAGATATGGAGGTGTTTGGATTAGTTTTGTAGAAATAATTTTACGAAGTCAAGTGAAAATATTAAATAATTTTGGAGTTTTCAAACACTTCAAAGAAGAAGTAGAAGTAGAATGTTTTATTTGAATATTTGAGTACTGTCATGCATTTTTTTAAAAATATGGGATTTCTAGATGTTTATTTTTAATTAGTTTTAACTGGTATTAGGATATGTCCATCATACATGACATGATTAGAGTTTGGTGGGTTAGCTCCCTTGAATTACGTGTTAAAGTAGCTTTATTGTGTGGCTTTTGCGAGGGATTCTACTGCTTCGATATTTTGGCTTCGATGATATGCATTAAAATATATATATATATATATATATATATTTGGAAGATGGAGTTTGGTGGTATAATAATACTGCGTTCATCTTTACCTTCGGCTTGTTTCCATGGGTCAAAAAAACACGCACACAGATGAGGAAGTTACAGAAAACATAAAAAGAGAAAGTATATTTACTGTGTGTGTGCATATAGCAGCAAATTGGCCGCCAAATGCACCAGGTTTTCATTGGGTAGGGTTTTGTATAGAGAAAATGACAGATAACTAAGCTTGAAATAAGAATATCCCAATTTAGGAAGCTAAAGATTAGAAATGACAGCCAGAGAAGTTATTCTCAAATTAAAATTTTGAAATTTAAAAGAAATGACAAAAACACCTTTTTTGTTAAAAAAAAAAAATAAAAGTTTAACCTTTTGCCGGCAATAGGCCACCATAAGCAACTAGCCCAAATGACACACCACTTTTTTAAAATAATTTCTCACCTGTGAATTAATTCTTTTTTATTGGCTTAAATGATCAAAAGGTAGTGTGGCTCAAATCCCACCCCTACCACTTTGTTCTCTACTATATACAGCATAGCAAATAAGGAGGAAAAAATGAACGAACGAGATTTTTTTCCTATTAATCTAGATATTAGGAAAAATATTTTTTGCCAAATAAATACATATAGCTTAAAATTTTCTCTTTCTATGCTTTTTTTTTTTTTTTTAAACTGTTTTTCCCCCTTGATTCAGATCAAGTCTTGGTTTAAAGTCGTAATGGTTAACATTCGGCTCAGCCAGTCCGAAGCTTTTGCACCCATTTGTTCCAAACCAAAATTCGATCTGTGGGCTGTTTTCAATTTTCATGGCAGGTAAAATATTGAGTCCATGTGGCCATAAGCCCACTTAATAACTGTGTGCCGAATTATAATTTGGGAGAATTGCAATCGAAAGAAACATAATTATTAAATTTTTTAAATAATAATTAAACAGTTTATAATGATAAATTTCATTACAGAAAATGTCAACTTCTAGTTCATACTTTTTTATAGTCATTTTTTTTATCTTATTATAATTCTCTCTTAGAATCTTATATTATGACCTCATTTCCTTAGTCTTCACATCACAAAATCTTTTTTTAAAATTATTTTTGGTTAGATCTTTATATATGTGACACATTCAAAAAGAAGATTGGTAATTTTAATTAGAGGATGTTTGGTTAAATAAAAAAGTACTTTAAAAAAATTTAACATAAATTGACATAAATTTTTTTTATATACTATAAAATTATTTTTAAAATCATAATTTTATTTTTACCCAAATAATTATTAAACTGGGAAGTAACCCATGAATTTGTGGATCACCCGTCCAGTCATCAATCTTTTTTCGTTTTACGTGATGATGTCACATCCAACGAAGATATCGCATGATTCACATGTTACTAAGGTGGACCCTCACATTATCGACGTGAATTTCACATGGTTTTTTTTTCTTTTTTTGACCTGAGTGAATTTCACATGGTTTAGAGCCGTTTTTTTTTTTTTTAACTGAAGGAAAATTTCATTATTGAGGGGGGGGGGGGGCTACGTGCAAAGTGACAGTCTGAAATACAACAAAACTACACAAACAAAGCAAAACACAATCCAACTATTAAAGCAGTTGAGTCTAAAGAAAATGAGTCACTTTTAATATGGCAAACTAATACTACCTCCGGACCTTAAGATTTTGTTTGATTTTTATTTTAATCCTAAATATAAGATCCTAATATACTTTGTCTTTCATATTTATATATATTTTTTTTAAATTAGTCCTTCTAACAATAATAGTTCTACCCAATATAGTTGATTAGTAAGGATATTTTAAAAAAGACAATACATATTTATTACAAATAACTAATTTAATTTCTTTTCTTAATCTTCTTAAATTAGTCAACTAACTCTTATAATTAGAATTAAAAGTAGTATCCGTTAAGAAAGATAGCTATAATCTTTACTCCTACGTGAAATGTCAGGGTCCACCTTAGTAACATGTGGATCATGCGATATCTTCGTTGGACCTATATCTAGGAATTACTACTCCCAGTTTTTAATATAAGATTTTGTCTGATTTTTATTTTGGTTATAAATACAAGACTCCAATTTATTTTGTCCATCATATTTATATATTTTTAAGGTAATTTTTCTAACAATAATAATTCTAGCCAGCTAATATACTTAATTAGTAAGGATATTTTAGAAAAAGCAGTACCTATTTATTACAAATAACTAATTCAACTTCTTTTCTTAATCATCTCAGATTATTTAACTAGCTTTTATTATTAGAACTGGAGATAGTATTAGCCCGTATGTTAAACAAAGCAGCCCTATCATTATCAATAAACTAAAGCTAAGGAGGAGGTCTCCAAATCCAATCTTTCGAACACAATCTCGATAATAAAGCTTTAGCGATCTAGCCAGCAACTAAAATTAGCGCCCCCAGTTTTTGTGTTTTACGGTTATATATTGGACAAGCAACAATATCTACTAGATTTTTTTCCAGCGGCTGAGAAGTTTTCATTGTCAAAATGATACTTCACTCGTCACATTAAAGTTGCGTGGCCTTTTAGGATTTTAAAAATACTTTTTTAAATTTGGAACCAACATCAAACTGAACCCGGTAATCTCATGATGATCCGACCCGTTTCCAATCCAAGAGAATCCTCGCATGTGATGGCGTGCAATTTATCCCCGGCTCCGCCAGAAAGGTTCCCTCGTCTTGGTTGTGGAGTCGCAGATAATTGGAAAAATGCCGCTGAAGATCTTTGATGCCACGGTTTCGAGCTTCGATGGAGTCTTCGAGCAGTTTCGATCAGAGGCGCCGAAGAACAAGGCCAATCTAATCGTCTTCCTGGCCGACAAAGACCCTGCTACCTCTCTCAGCTGGTGCCCTGGTATTGTTGTGGTTCTTGAACTGCTTTCGAATCTCCATAGATCATGCTTGCTTCTCTGTGTTATCTTTTCCCAGTTTTAAGTTTTTCGTAGAAGCTGACCCGTTATTGTCGGATATGGTGAATTTTTTTAGGAAATCTGAAATTCTGCAAGATTGTATTCATAATATACCTGTTTGTTTGGAGCATTAGGGTTGGGTAGCCTAAATGAAAAATTTTTGAGGGATAATTCGGTTAGCACTTTGAGATTTTCGTATCGGTAAACAAAAGACTGGGCGAGAATTGTGAAATATTTCTTACTGTGGGAAAGCTCCCCTTAGAGAGGTGAAACTCTTCATTAAATTACCCAACCTTCATCACCATTCAAACCAAAACGTGGGAAGAGCTTGTTGGAGAATTGAAGTTTGAAGAAGAGGGTAGTAAGATTGGCTATTGTACTACTATGTTTCTGATCTTTGGTCTGCAGACCTGGCTGATTAGTAATTTTCTTTCTGCGTTGGTGAATATTCAAAAACTTTCAGTCATGAAAGAAAAGGAGAGTGAATCATGGTTGATAAGAGAAGAACTAGTGATTGAAATTGAAGTTTTCAAATTGGAGTATGAAATTGAAATGTAGTAATGGCGTGAGAACCCATCTTAACCCATCCACTGCATTTCTTGTCACCTGCAATGGCCCAACAATAGTTTGAGTTATTGTCCATATCCTAAACTAGTTAGAACTCATTTAGTAAACCAAAAATGACTTGTTTCTGTTCGGCTCTTTTTTTGTTTATAGACTGTGTGAGGGCAGAGCCTGTGATCTACAAAAAGCTGGAAGCTGCATCGGATGATATTGCGCTATTGAGGGCTTATGTAGGAGACAGACCAACATGGAGGAACCCTCAGCATCCATGGAGGGTGGACTCAAGGTTCAAGCTCACTGGGGTGCCGACGTTGGTCCGTTGGGAGAATGACACAATCAAAGGTCGTCTGGAGGACAATGAAGCCCACATTGAACACAAGATCGAAGCTCTTCTTGCCTGAAATGATTGCTGATGTAGCTCGCTTCAGTATGTGAGAGCTACTGGTTGTGTTAGCTTTGCCTGCAGATCATAGAATAAGATGTTGAGTACTGGTGAGTGAACCCCCAACATCCGAGTAGCTTCATATGAATATGAGGATAGGATATGTTGGGATGCAATGTGAAATTCACTATTGGGTTTATTAGATGATAATTATTATCTTGAGTAAATTATATGTCTTTCTCATATTTTAAAAATGTGCATTCATTTTTTTTTTGGGGTTTTACAAGAGATTTTGAGCCATTATCATTGCCACTTGAGTTAATTGTGGTAAAACATAGATTCACTTTTTTTTTTAAGGAAAAAAGATATACTCACATTTCAGTCTAATTTCAAGTATGTATGAAAATAAAACAAAAATCAATGGTTAATTTGAGCGCATAATATAACAGTTTCATGGGGAAGAACTATATAACGTAGATAGCTAAATTGCAGGTAAGGACATTAAGGGACATTAACTAGGACGGAATGATGAATAAATAAGATGGGATGCCCTCAAAAGGAAAAAGCTTTCAAAAAAGTTGTCACTGTCTTTATCAGGATTCCTCGACCAGAGAAGGCATATAAAATAACTGAGCATCAAAGCATAGAAGCCAATGCATGAGCATATGCCCTTAGAGCTATCAGGAATATTAAACCAAAACCCACAAGCTCAACACTTCGGTTTCTTGGGTGCTATGAACAAAGAGGCAAGGACAAAAATGACTCTTACTAACAGAAGCAATCACTAAAACTTTTTTTCCCCCCTTTTGTCTCCTACTAAAACTGGTTTAGCTCATGTGAGGTGTCATTAATTTTAATTAATTTAACTGATATTGTTAGTATTTTGGACCATGTAGAAGGTTCGGACTGGACATAATGTCCCTCTAGGGACATCCGATGAATTCCACACAAGATACATATATAGCAGCTACAAGCGAGAAGGCTGAGAATGGACAGGAAAGTAAGAAACAACAATGGGAGCTTAAGATTTCTGAATCTCTCTGTGTCTCGGCGTTAAAGAACCTGCTTTTAAAATTTAAATTCGTGACCTCTTGTTAAGGCTTCCTCACATGGAATCTAATAAGCGACATCCTTATCCTCACAAAGAAGAAGCTGTTTTTAACATCTAAATTCGTAACCCCTTGTTTCAGCAAGCTTACAGTTGTTCTGAGACTCACCCTCTATTGCGTGCAATCACAAATATATAATGATACAAAAATAGTCAATTTTTATGTGTTTTTCCCCCTTTACTAATCCAAATACGAGGTGGGGAAAAGATTTTTTTGGCCAAATAAAAAATATATTTTTTAATTTTTCTCTTTCTATCCTTTGTTTTTGCCTTCATTCAAATAAAGTATTCATCCAGTTTTTAATATACGATCTAATTATTAAGTTGATTTTAATTCTAAATATAAGACATATTTTTTCATATTTATCAATTTTTTCTAAATTACTTCTATTGATACTATCACAATCATAATTAAGGAGAAAATAGAGGGAGGATATTAAAAAAAAATGATCATGATATTTTAAAAAAAACATGTTATACTTCTTATAATTAATTAATTTATCTAATTTTCTTAATTTAATTAAATTAATTAAATAGATCTTAGAAATAATATTAGTTTAAAATCGTAAAAGTCAACACGGGGGGCCAACCTGCCCGGAGCTTCCACGTGCACCTTTTTTAACTCCGTCGGTTGTTTTCAATTTTCATTGTTCGCTGAGGACATCCACTCTCATGAATTCGTTGGAGATAGGCGCAAGGGTGGGAGTCGAGGATGCCGTAAATCTGGGGAAGAAGACAAGGAGGGGGTTCAAGTGAAAGGGCAGAGAAGGGCAGGTTGCCACTAACCCAAACATTGTCGTTTCAACGGTGAGCACCCGAAAATGCGACGAGGGATGAATGGAGGTAGTACTGAGAAAACGGGCCGGCCCGTGACGGGTTCGGGCTTAAACGGGCCGGCCCGTTTAAATCCGAATTCTAAAATAAGTCATTTTTTCAAACCCGCCCGGCCGTGAGATGACGGGCTCGGGCTAGCCCGCGGGTTTTTGGTCTTTTTAATTAAAATAATTTTTTTATTTTTATGTATATTTTATCAAAATAATAAAAATGAAACAATAAAAATTACTAATAAAAGATATAAATATAAATAAAATTGAGTCACAAATATAAACATTATCATGTCTAAACATATATTACAGTATAATAAAGTCTATTGAATAAACAAACTAAATAGAGGACAGACATAAACAACTAAATAAGCATTAAGTTCAGTAGATAATTACAATGCGGATGATCTAGTTTGATTATAAATAATTAACAAAAAAGTTTAACTAACAAACATAGTATACATAAAGAATAATCATTTATCATACCGATAAAAAAGAAAAGAGTCCATCATTCTTAGTTCTAAATTTGTTTCTACTATAAAAATGATATAGATCTTTATTTTAGTTTAAAAGATTTTTTGATCAATTATATTTCAAGTATAAAAAATATGGGAGAATGATAAATAAAGACTGTAAAAATTATAGATACAGTATTTTAATAGGTTTTGACAACTTATAAATAACAATATATTTTTATGAATATACCTAGTTTTAAATTTTGCAATTTTCATGTTTTTTTGGTTATTTTTCCCACAACTATAGTGATTCTTTTTTTCTTTTTGTGAATGCTACCTATGTGAGCTGCCAAGATAAGTAAAACTAAAAGTATGCTATGTTTAAAATGTTAGGGTTTTCTTTTTTAAGTTAAGAAAAAAAGACAGAAATAAAAAAAAATTTGACGGGCCTAAACGGGCCGGCCCGCGACCCTACAGGGCTGACCCTTTTAAGCCCGACTTTCTTTTCAAGACTTCAAAATATAAGCCCGGCCCTTGACTTAAACGGGCTTAAACGGGCCGGCCCGACGGGCTTGGCCCGTTTTCCCGGCTCTAAATGGAGGGTGAAAACAAGACAGAGGTTAATGCTTTGCCATTTTTTCCCCAAAAAAAAAATTCCAGCACCCCGGAATACTTTTTTCAGTGTGATCTAATATTCTAAATTAATTGCAACATTTTAAAATATTTTCTCAATAATACTCAATATGTGATAGTTAACACCTTGAGATATTTTCTATTTCTCCGGTCTTAAATATAAAACCTATATACACACCACAAAAAAAATCTTATATTTAAAATTGAAAGAGTAGTTAATTTTGAGCATAAGAGAAAAGCAGAAGCCGCGTTTAAAATCATAATCAGTGTTAATTTTCATATCCTACCCTTTTTAAATTACGATCTACTCGTCACTCGATATGAACTTAAAAAAAGAATTTAAAAAAATACCGTATAGTAAGCTTATATACACTTTTTGGTTCTAGCTCATCTTAATTTCAATTTTACTAGTATTAATTTATTAATAATTAAGATAATATTGAAGTCAAAATGCTGCTGTGTTTTTTCGCTCGGTTTTTTCGCCGGAGAAAGTGCTGATGTGTTTAGATCCCCTACTGCGAATGTGTAAAAGTTCTCTCCTCAAGTTTATGGACGACTCATCCAATCATCTATCAATCCTTTTGTATTGATTCTTAATGCTAATCCGTTACTTAATATAAAATCTTATTTAATTTTTATTTTGATTCTAAATATAAGATCCTAATTTATTTTTTTTCATATTTATATATTTTTTTTAAAATTAGTCTTTCTAACAATAGTAATTCTAGCTAATACATTTTATTAGTAAGAATATTTTAGCAAAGACAACACCTATTTAATTCAAATAACTAACTTAACTTATTCTTTAATTTTCTCAAATTAGTCAACTGGTTCTTATAATTAGAATCGAAGGTATTATAAAAATTAGGTGGGATTTGCTTTAAACATAAGATTCTATTTTAGTTTTCATTTTTTTAATTGTAAGGGTTTCATACCAAGAAATAATTCGAATCATTCAATATATATGATTGAAAAGGATGATTTATGATTAAATATGATGGTTTAGAAAGACCAATACAAACTTATAACAAATAACCAACTTAATTAATTTTCTTAATCTTCTTAGATTAGTTATCTAACTCTTATATTAATGATTGATATTATGATTAAGGGCTTGTTTGGTATAGCAATGAAAATACTTATAAGCATATTTCATATCAGTTGAGATAAAACTCCTCTCACGTATTTATCTTGTATTTCGTAAATTATAATTAAAAAATTATTTGTAAACTATTTCATAATTGTGGTTTTTTTTAACCAGCAAAAATTGTGGTATATTACTATCACATCAGATGAAGGTATCACATGAATCACATTTAATTGGAGCGGACCCTCGCATTATTGACGTGATTTTTATATTGATAAGAAATAATATCAACCAGACTTTTATTTATCAAGGACCTTCTATGTCATTCAACTACCAGTCTGTTGGTATTTCTGGCAAAAAAAAAAAAAGTTTGTTGGTAAAATAATAATTGGTTCATGATTTAAAGTTGTGTGGCCCTAATAATTTTTTAAAAATAATTTTTATTAATACCATAATTATTAATATTATTTTTAATTCTTAAAATTTAACCTTATTTTAGTTTTGATTTGTAAGTTAGAGGTAAAATTTCACTGACCAAAACGAAAATGAAGTTAAATCTAAAAGACCAAAATTCTTAATTTCAAATTTTAGAAACTAAAATAAAAAAAAAATTAAATTAAATTTTAGAAGCAAAGATAACATTAACTTCTACAGAGAAAAATTGGAAAAGGAATCAAACTGAGCCCCGGTAATCTCATGATGATCCGACCCGTTTTCCAATCCAAGAGAATCCTTGCATATAATGGCGCGTAAATGATCCTCGTCCCCGCCAGAAAGGTTCCCTATTCCTGGTTGTGAAGTTGCGGAAGACAATAGGAAAAATGCCGCTGAAGCTCTTTGATGCCACGGTTTCGAGCTTCGATGGAGTCTTCGAGCAGTTTCGATCAGAGGCGCCGAAGAACAAGGCCAATCTAATCGTCTTCCTGGCCGACAAAGACCCTGCTACCTCTCTCAGCTGGTGCCCTGGTATTGTTGTGGTTCTTGAACTGCTTTCGAATCTCCGTAGATCATGCTTGCTTCTCTGTGTTATCTTTTCCCATTTTTCAGTTTTCCGTGGAAGCTTGCCCCTAGTTCCCAGATATGGCGACTTTTTGGGGGACTTCTGGAATTCTGCAAGATTATATTCATATTGTACCTGTTTGTTTGGAGCAGTAGGGCACATTTAATGAAATGTTTTCGGTAGCCTATCTGAAAGCTGTTGAGGGATAATTCGATGAGAACTTTTAGATTTCTTATTAGTAAACAAAAAACTGGGCGCGAATTGTGAAATACATGTTACTGTGGGAAAGCTCCACAGAGGTGAAATTACCCAACCTTCATTAAATAGTGGGAAGCGCTTGTTGGCGAATTGAGGTTTGAAGAAGAGGGTGGTAAGACTGGCTATTATACTACTATGTTTCTGATCTTTGCTCTGCAGACCTGGCTGATTCATAATTTTCTTTCTACGTTGGTGGATATTCACAAACTTTTAGTCATGAAAGAAAAGGAGAGTGAATCATGGGTAATAAGAGAAGAACTAGTAATTGAAATTGAAGTTTTCAAATTGAAGTATGAAATTGAAATGTAGGAGTGGCTTGAGAACCCATCCACTGCATTACTCGTCACCTGCAATCACCCAACAATAGTTTTGAGTTATTGTCCCTATCCTCACAAACCAGTCCTAAACTAGTGAGAACTCTTTTAACGAAACCCAAAAATGACTTGTTTCTGTTTGGCTTTTTTTTCGTTCACAGACTGTGTGACGGCTGAGCCTGTGATCTACAAAAAGCTGGAAGCTGCATCAGATGATATTGCACTGTTGAGGGCTTATGTAGGGGACAGACCAACATGGAGTAACCCTCAGCATCCCTGGAGGGTGGACTCAAGGTTCAAGATCGCTGACGTGCCGACTTTGATCCGTTGGGAGAATGACACAATCAAAGGTCGTCTGGAGGACAATGAAGCCCACATTGAAGACAAGATTGAAGCTCTTCTGGCCTGAAATGATTGCTAGGGTAGCTCGATTCAGTATGTAAGAACTACTAGTTATGGCGCTATCTTCCCAGCAATTCATCCGTCCTATTATCCTACGTCTAGAGCTTCGCCTGCAGATCATAGAATAAAAATAAGATGTTAAATGCTAGTGAATGAACCCCCTGCATCCTTGTAGCTTCATCTAAGAAGGACGTGTACTAAGACACAGCTTGACATGAGTATATGATATGTTCAGATGCAGTGTGAAGTCTTCCCTTGGATTTAGTGGATGATAATTAATATGTTGAGTAAATTATATCTTTTGTATAATTTAAAATATGCATTGATTTATTTCTTTGTCTTGGGTTTTACAAGAGATTTTGAACCATTATCCTTGCCACTTGAGCTGGTTCTAGGTGGGAAAACATACACATACTTTTTTAAGGAAAATGGTTATACTCATACTTTAGTCTAATTTCAAGTATTAAGAGAAATACAAATTAATAGTTAATTTGAATGCATAATATGAAAATTTCATGAGGAAGAAATTTATACCGCTGATAACTAAATTGCAGGTAGGGTAGATTTAATCATAAATATAAGATTTTAATTTACTTTATCTTTCTAATTTATAATTGTTCTTTAAAATATTCCTATTGATTATATGCTGTTTTTATTAGAAGGTAATTTTAATACACATAATTAAAGAGGTTAGTTCAGAAAAGTTAACACATATTTGTTACAAGTAATTGACTTAATTAATTTTTTTAATCTCTTTAAATTAGATATTTAACTTTTATATTAAAAATGGGAGGTAATGCTTCACACGAGGTTAACTCAAATGAGCTCGTATAACTAATATTCTCGAATGAAGAAAGAAACTTAACTATATGAACAGAGAGGCAAGGACAAAAACGACTATTAACAAAAGCAATCAAACTTTCGTTGTTCTTTTTTTTTTGCATCCACTACAACTGGTTTAGCTCGTGTGACGCGTCATTAGTTTTAATTAATTTAATTGATATTATTAGTATTTTGGACCACGTACGTATAAGGTTTGGACAAGACATAATGCCCCTCCAGGGACATCCAATGAAATTAACTCAAGAAACATGCATATACACAGCAGCTACAGGCGAGAAGGCTGAGAATGAACAGGGAAGTGAGAAACACCAATGGAGGCTTCATATTTCCGAGCCTCTGTGTGTCTCAGCGTTAGAGAACCCGCTTCCACTGCATGCCCCTTATTGCTTTCATCTTCTTCGATGAAAAGAAGATGAAGCTGTTAAGCTCGAAGCAGCAGAACATGGTGGCTGACACAGAGGACACTCTCTTACCTCTTAATTATCTCTAAAGCTATTAATTAAAGGCAATGCAAGGGGAACGATTCTTACTTTTGGTACAAAGCATTAAAACAAGAAATAAGGATTGGGATTAGGATTAAGAAAAATATTAAAGAATATTTAGTACGAGTAATTTCTTGTTATATAAGATTAGACAATTTCATGTGAGTGAGATTAGAGAATATCACATCCCTCCCCCCCGCTTGAATTGAGAAGAAAAGAAAGTTGGGAGGAAAGAAAATGAAGAGAAGAGAAAACTGAAAGGAAAATATTATCACTCTTCCTGCTTGGATGAGTGAGAGAAAACAGAGAGGAAAGAAAATGTATAAATATCAGAATGACTAAAATGTCCTTATTATAATTAATTGGCAAGGAAACTAAATAATTTAGTAAAAAAATTATTTTTTATGTAAAAATAAAAAGGAAATAATTTTTGAACTTAATTAAAATAAAAGGAAATAAATAATTTATACATTATATTATTATCTACTAAAAACGCGAATGCTTTGAATTAGTATTGTCAAAACATATACCATTCTCCCACAGACATGCCCATATATGTATATAAAACGTTGGGGTTAATCATAATCACATGCGTGCGCACGTTTCTAAACTCTCCGCAACTAGATTCTAAAATTGAATATTCTATATCATTAAAATCTAATCAAAACTTGGTGACCAACGTTTGGCAAGAGAGGATAGTGAGGGAATAATCCGAAATGGTGAAAATCTCTCCACTTGCAGAGAGAAATTTTGAGAGGAAAATAGGGTATGGGGCCCACTATATTTTTCCTCCCACTTTTCTTTCCTCTCCTGTTTTCTTTGCCATCCAAGCAGGGGAAAAGTTCATTTCTCTTCCATTTTCCACTCCACTTTTCTTTCCTCTCCCATTTTCACTCAATCCAAGCAGAGCATCCATGGTATTTTCCAATTCCAGATATATAGATTTGTCTAATTCCATGTTACTCATACTACATATTTTTTTAACCCATTTTTTCAATCCTAATCTCAATTCTTACTCTCATTTTCAATACTCCGCACCAAACGAGACCGATGTGTCTGACTTGGGAAGAAAAAGGCCCGGGATGTAGTTTTTTCTTATGAGTAGTCTGTTTTCTTACTTCCGAGAGGGAAGGTAGGTGCCTCTTTCCTTTGTACTAATATTCATGTCTTTTAAGTGAGAGCGCGAAGGTCATTCCAATTGTTATCATTGTGTCTACACACTGATAATAAGATTTCTTAACATGTTTTTCTTCTTAACGTACGTGTTTTCTGTTTTTAGTTGTTTTCCCCCAAGTCAGATCATGAATCTTGTGGATCTTTGCTCCAAAACATCTTGAAATGGTGAGAAGTACTTCAGAGTCTCTCGCTACGTCTTTGAGCTGTGAGATTTCTATATATTTGAATATGTTATTAGAATCTGGCAATTGGCTAAGTTACGGGTCAGAGTTAGCTTTACTCCCGTCTTGGAAAGGGGCTGCATAAACATGTTGGCTCTGATTTCCATTAAAATATATTTTCGGAAGATGAACTTGGACACACCCAACTCACACGCATTGAGTGGTTCATTATATTATTCAAAATGATTATGGTGGTACAATGCTGTGCCCAAGCTGCCCGAATCTTGCATATATAATGGCGACCGAATTATCGTTGTCGCCGCCAGAAAGTTATCATACTCTTGGTTGCAGAGTCGCAGATAATCGAGAAAATGCCGCTGAAGATTTCCGATGCCACGATTGCAAGCTTCGCTGAAGCCTTCGAAAAGTTTCGTTCAGATGTGCCGAAGAACAAGCTCAATCTAATCCTCTTCCTGGTCGACAAAGACCCTGCTACCTCCCTTAGCATTTGCCCTGGTATTATTGTGGTTCTTGAACTGCTTTCGAATCTCCGTAGATCATACTTGTTTCTCTGTGTTATCGTTTCCCATTTTGTTGAGTTTTTTCTAGAAGTTTACCCGTTCTTCTCAGATCTGGTGAATTTTCTGGAAGAAATATGGAATTCTGCATTATTGTAGTGATAGTGTACCTGTTTGTTTAGAGCATTACGGCACATTTAATGAAATGTTTTGAGTAGCCTAACTGAACTTTTGATGGATAATTCAATGACCACTTTGAGATTTTCGTATCCGTAAACAAAAATCTGAGGCGACAATTGTGAAATATATCTTATTGTGGGAAAGCTCCACTTCGAGAGGTGAAACTCTTCATTAAATTACCCAACCCGGGAAGAGCTTGGTGGAGAATTGAGGTTCGAAGGGGACGGTAGCAAGACTGGCTATTCACTATGTTTCTGATTGGACTGCAGACCTGGCTGGTTCCTACTTGTCTTCCTTCGTTGGTGAAGATTTATAAACTTTTAGTCATGGAAGAAAATGGGAATTGATCATGGGTGAGAACTGAAAGGAAAAACTAGTAATTGAAATTGAAGTTTTGAAATTCGAGTATGGAATTGAAAAGGAAACCAGTGGCTTGAGAATCCATCTCAACCCACCCACTCCATTACTTGTTACCTGCAATCATCCAAAAATAGTTGAGTTATTGTCTGATTTGTCTCCCTCCTCCCAAACCAGTCCTAAACTAGTTAGAACTCATTTAGCAAAACCCAAAAATGACTTGTTTCTGCTTGGCTCTTTTTTTGGTTTTTTTTGGTTCACAGACTGCTCTAGGGCTGAGCCCGTGATCTACAAAAAACTGGAATCTGCATCAGATGATATTGCACTGTTGAGGACTTATGTAGGAGACATACCAGCATGGAAAAACCCTCAGAATCCTTGGAGAGAGGATTCAAGGTTCAAGCTCACATCGGTACCGACATTGATCCGTTGGGAGAACGACACAATCAAAGGTCGTCTGGAGGACAATGAAGCCTACATTGAAGACAAGATTGAAGCCCTTGTTGCCTGAAATGATTGCTGGTGTAGCTCACTTCAGAATGTAAGATCCACTATTTATGGCGTTTTATCTTCCCAGCAATCCATCCAGGGAAAAAGCTTTCAAAAAGTTTGTCACTTTCTTTATCTGGCTTCCTCTACCAGAGAAGGCATGTAATAATAATTTAGCATCAAAGCAAAGAATGAAGCCAATGTATGAGCATATATGCAAAGTGAGATGCTATGTCAAAAACATCGGCCTTTAACTATGTTTTTGTTTTTTTGGTGCGACTCTGTGACATTCGCAACAAACACCCAGTTGTTTTCGTCCTGTGAAGGGAAAAAAATAAGGTACTTGAGTAATTTTTTTCAGAGCTCACCAACTTCACAAAAAACATGAAGAACACTGGCATAGTTTACAGTCCAGACTTCACAAGAGGTTAATTTAATTTAATTTAAATGAGCTCTGACAACTAATATGCGAATGTAGGAAGAAGATTAACAAGAAAATTAATTAAGTATACAAAATATAGGCAAGGAAGAAAATGATTATTAACCAAAGTAATCACTAAAACTGTTTTTTTCCCTCTCTTTCTCTTCACACTAAAACTGATTTACCTCATGAGACATGTCATTAGTTTCGATTAATTTAACTGATAATGTTAATATTTTTGAACAAGTAGAAAGTTTGGACAAAGCATAATGTCCCTCCAGGGACATCCGATGAAATCAACATAAGATAAATTCTTGGTACAAAATCGACAATAATCTCTGCTTTTAACTGAATTGGGAGAAGCGTTACCATATTTATTTTATCTCAATCCAATCATAATGCGATACCAGTGAATGCTTGTCAGTTATTATATATCCAAAAAGCAGAATAATCCCTCATAAAAGCTTATGATTATATCAGTTATTAAACATTTATATTCGTCTTAAAATTTCAAAATTCTCTCGTCTCATCTCCTAGGTTGATTTTCTCTCAAACCAAACTTGGCATTAATTTTCAAGTCATGAAATTCCTCATCGTTCATACAAACAAAACCCAAAAAAGAAAAAAAAAATCTGTTAACCAAAATGAAGTTTTCATTTCATGCGCACTTACGACGACAGTTACGTCTGATAAATTTTAAAGGCAAACGGTAAAGGAGACGCGGGCCACAGAAGTTAACTTCTCGTATCATCCTCTCTCTCTCTCTCTCTCTCTGTGTTACCTGTTATGATACACACGGAAGAACCCTCCTCAATTTTCCACATTGATTGCCACAAGGAATGGATTTTTAATTGGAGATCATGTGCAGACCCAATACTTATTTCCCATTGAAATAGGCATTAAAGAAAATCTCTGTCTCAAGTGCTCTCTTAAGGTTGCTCTGTTTCCCCTGTTTCAGGCTTCTTCTTGCTATTCACATTGCGTCTATCGCGTCTCGTCTCTCAGGTTGAACCCCTCTTCTAGAAATCTTTCACGTAGTGACTAATGCTGCTATTTTTTTTTTTTTTAATTTCTACTCTTCTGTCCATGAAATTTCACCAAATGAAATGAAGCTATTGCCTGAGTTTTCATCTCTGTCTGTAAACCTTGAAGCTTAGTGATGATTAGAACGGGATAATCTCCAGATACTTGCATGTATTGTAGCCACTTCAAAATTTCCATGAACCCTGCTTTCGCAGTTACTATAATTATAATGAATTTTGCACATATAATTAGTTGGTTTTTGTTACATTACAGAGATAATGAATCATATTTTACAGGGACAAAAAGGAAGAACAGTAAAAGAAAAGATAATAAACTTCGTTATGTGAATCTTTGTTTCGAGTATCTGTAGTTATCCTACATGGTTATTTATGTTATTTCTCCTCGATTGATATGTTTACTTTTTGCTGATTTTAGTCAAACACTTGATCTCTCCTTATTTGCTGTTTGAGGGGATTAAGAGAATGTCAGTATTTGACTTATTATAATGACTTATTTCAATATCTGTGATTTGTTAGAAGTATGCTTCAACATGTTGAATGTTGAAATATTATGTCCAGATGAATCTCTTATTCATGTCTATGATATGCCGGAACGTTTTTGGAACAATCTAAGAGAATATCTAATGCCTTTTCAGCCTATTATTGCAGTACAAACAATGGCTAATCAAAATCAAAAGAAGCCACAGGAGGATTACTCCCTTAAAGAAACAACCCCAAACATAGCTGCCGGAAGAGTCATGAGTGGAGACAGGCTTCCCACTGCCTTTGACCTCGTAGAGCAAATGCACTTTCTCTTTGTGAGAGTGGTTAAAGCTAGAAACTTGCTAAGTGCCACTAAATCTAACACTTCCAATCCCAATGTTGAAGTGAAGCTTGGAGGTTTCATAGGAACAACTCGAATTTTTCAAAAAACTTCAAATCCAGAATGGAACCAAGTCTTTGCTTTTGCAAAAGATCGGATTCAGGAACCAGTTCTAGAAATTATGGTGAATGATAAAGTAAATGGTACCAATGAAACTCTGGGTCGAGTTTTATTCAGTGTATCTGATATTCCTATGAGAGTTCCACCAGATAGTCCATTAGCCCCTCAGTGGTATAGACTTGAAGATAAAAAAGGGGTTAAGCTTAAAGAAGAATTAATGCTATCTGTTTGGATGGGAACTCAAGCAGATGAAGCTTTTCCCGATGCTTATCACTCAGATGTAGCAACATCCACTATCTGTGATAATATTGCTTATACTCGATCAAAAGTGTACATTTCTCCTCGGCTATGGTATTTAAGAGTGAATGTGATTCAAGCTCAGGATTTGCTAGTAACCAAAAAGAGTGATAACTCAGAAATCTTCATTCAAGCTATTCTTGGGAATCTTGCTCTCAGAAGCCGTCCCTTGAAGATTAGTCCTAACCCCGTTTGGAATGAGGATCTAATGTTTGTTGCAGTAGAACCTTTTGATGAGTCTTTGGTTCTGAGCCTAGAGCAGGGGAATTCGAGCTCTTGCAAGCATGAAAAAATGGGAATTTGCGCGGTTCCATTGAAGAATGTAGAGCAAAGAATAGATGCCGCACCAGCTTCTAGCAAATGGTACAACCTTGAACAGCCCAAGAAGGTTCACGAGGGATGTGAGAAAACTAATAAGGTCAATGAATGTCAACAAGAACAAAAAGAGCAAGTTAAGTTTTCAACTAAGCTTAACATGAGGATCTCCTTGGATGGTGGGTACCATGTTCTTGATGAGGCCACACAATATAGTAGTGATCTCAGGCCAGCATCTAAGAAACTGAGCAAACCAGGAATTGGAGTTTTAGAATTGGGCATTCTAAATGCTATTGGGCTATCACCAATAAAAAAGGACAACAAAACTGATGCTTATTGTGTTGCGAAGTATGGGCCCAAATGGGTTAGAACAAGAACTATAGTTGATAGTCTCTCTCCCAAGTGGAATGAGCAATATACTTGGGAAGTTTTTGATCCTTGCACAGTCATAACAATAGCAGTATTTGACAATGGCCATCTGCGAACAGAAAAGAATGGGGAAGCACCAGTGGATAAGAAAATTGGAAAGGTGAGAATTAGACTCTCAACACTTGAGACAGATAGAGTGTACACCCACTTTTACCCACTCATAAACTTGCAGCCTCAAGGAGCCATAAAAATGGGAGAAATTCAGTTGGCTGTGAGATTCTCTTGCCCATCTTTACTTAATGTTCTGCAAACCTATACACAACCTCTGCTTCCAAAAATGCATTACGTCAACCCATTATCAGTATTTCAGCTTGACAGTTTAAGAAACCAAGCTGCTGTTATTACCTCATTGAGACTAAGCAGAGCTGAACCACCTTTGAAGAGAGAGGTTGTGGAATACATGCTTGATGTGAGAGCAAACTTTTGGAGTATGAGAAAAGGAAGAGCTCAAATTCAGAGAATATTTAGCCTTCTGAGTGGTATAGTTTATGTCTGCAAACAATTACATGAGATTCGTACCTGGAAAAGCTCAGTGAAGACAATCACTGCTTACTTCATCTTCCTTTTAGTCATCTTCATCCCAGGAACAATCCTTCCCCTGATGTTTTCCTTGCTTGTCGGAATAGGAATCTGGCGATATCCAAAACGGCCGAGACTTCCGACCCATATGGATATTAAGCTGTCTCATGCTGACACAGCGACGGCTGAAGAACTAGAAGAAGAGTTTGATCCATTGCCATCGAAATTCAGCGGTGAACACCTGAGAAACAGGTATGATCGGCTGAGAGGGATTGCTGGGAGGTTGCTTGCTGTGATGGGTGATTTGGCGACTCAGGGAGAGAGGATTCAATCACTGTTGAGTTGGAGAGACCCGAGAGCGACAGCTCTGTTTATGATTTTCTGTTTGTCTGGTGGGATTCTGTGTTGGTTCTTTACTTTTAAGGTTATCTTCTTTGTTCAGGTGACTTACTTGTTGAGACCTCCGAGGTTTCGGTTTGACATACCAGCTGTGCCACAGAATTTCCTAAGGAGGATGCCTGCAAAATCTGATGGCTTGCTTTGATATTCATTTCGTTGATTCTCGTGTTCTTTTCTTTATAAAACTCATTTCATATCCTTTTCTTCTCCCCCTCCTCCTTCTTCTTCTAAGTAGATGAATAAAGAAAAGCAATATGCTTTGACTATTAAGCAATACAGAAATTCTGTTTCTTCAAAGATCATCAAGTAGCTTTTCTTTGTTTGCATTTGGGTCCAGATACTGTAAAACACACAAACAATATAACAGACATTCTTGGACCTCGTTTTGATAAGACACAAATCAAAGAGCTATACAAGAGAGTTTTCGAGGTTGTAAGAACCGAAAAAAAAAAAAATACAAAATTCAATCCATAAAATGCATTTGTTCGAAATGGTAAAGCCAAGAATGGTTTGAAGCGAATGATGGTTTTAACATTCCTCACAATATGATTTTGTACTTTATGAGAAAAAATTTCTTAAACATATTTACTGCATAAAACATAAAATTACTTAAAATAAGCTAAACTAAACATACAGCAAAACCTGATAATGACAATGACCACTTCAAATTTCAAATTTCCAATTATGCTATGCAAATTGTGTTAATCTGGGTTATAGCATTTCGTCATTGCCTATAAAATATATTATCCTTATCTATTTTGAGAACAAAATAAAGATTCGGTTATAAAATGCCATATCTTTTATCAAAAAATAAAAATTAAGAATTATAAACTTTAAAAATATCAAATATATTAATACAAAAGGATGAAAAATATTTTTCACTTTCATCTCAGCCAAAAAAAATCAATTATTAGTAATTATTTACAAAATCTAATCTAAAATGTAATATATATATATATATATATATAAAATATTGGTCGTTTCATCCAAAATTCATTAACATATTATCAACAGTCAAGGGACCAAGAACAATTGGGCTGGGCTCAGAGTGATGAACAGTTTAGGAGTAACATATGACCCGGGAAAAATTGGGCCGGATCTAAAAATGTATGTGGTTGTGTTTCAAAAAGCCCAACCCGGTCGAGTCCGCTCGCACAAAACCCTAGCGATGCAAAGGCGATATATATCCTTGACACGACAACTAAAGCGACTCCCATTCCCGCAGTGCTGAAGGTTATTGCAGGTGGAAGAAGAAGGAAGCGGCTGAAGCAGTTGCAATGGCTCCCAAGCAGAGAACACCAAAGGTGAGCCGAAATCCCGAATTGATTAGAGGGATTGGTAAGTACTCGAGGTCGAAGATGTACCATAAGAGAGGCCTCTGGGCTATCAAGGCCAAAAATGGTGGCGTTTTCCCTCGTCACGATCCCAAGCCCAAGCCTGAAGCTCCTGTGGAGAAACCTCCCAAGTTTTACCCTGCCGAAGATGTCAAGAAGCCCTTGGTCAACAAGCACAAGCCGAAGCCTACTAAACTCAGGTGCTTTTCGCACCCCTTGTATTATCTCTTAGGATCATTGATTTGTCTGTGTTTGATTGTGGCGGTGGTTTCGATATTTTGGTTTGATTTGATATCCTTTGTGTTATTGCTTTTGTCAAAAAAAATATTAATGTGAGAAATGTGGGTTTCTAAGTGGTGTTTTTCTCTTGATTTGGGATATATAGGCTGTGGATTAGGATTATCCATGTCAGTTGTGGATGATTAATATTGAGATGAAGGCTAAAATTCGGCCCCTTTTTCCTCCTTTCATATTCTATGTGGATTTGTTTTCTATGGTTGTTATTGTGATTGTTGTTGTTTATTTAGAGCTTAGGAAATGTAATGGCAGGTGAGTAATATTGAATGTGAGAGTTTTCGTATGTTGGCATATGGAGTATAGCGGGCTTTGAACGAGGCGTGTAGTGAGCTGTGGCTGATAAATGATGACATGTCCTCTTATCTGTCACTTCTTTTCCAGTATCAAAAACAATTTTATATGCTTCAATCTCTTAATTAACAAGTTCAAGTTTTTGCATTGTATGGGCTTTTTCGGCATATAGGTTTGCTGATCATGATAATGATAATATTTGTCTGCTTTTGCTTTTACTCTGTAGGGCTAGCATTACTCCCGGTACTGTGCTTATTCTTCTTGCTGGGAGATTCAAGGGAAAGAGGGTCGTTTTTCTGAAGCAGCTTCCTTCTGGGTTGCTCCTTGTTACTGGTAAATGATCTGATGCCATCTGTGAGAAGAGTCGTTGAATGATAAGCTTCTGTAGTAGCCATTGCTTCATTTTCTATGATCCTTTCGTGAGCTTGGTTTATATTTTTACACTATTCTTGTGAAATTTCTTTTGAGTTTTTCAAATGTTCTCTCTCTCTGTGTTATCTTGTATTACTAATCATTCTCAGTCACTGCCTCTTTTATATTAGTGACCATTGTGTACAAACAATGATATTTATATTGGTGTGTATTATGAGTGTGTTGAATTCAATTGAGCTTCTCTATGGTTTTGTTAATGGTAGTTTCTTTGTGCCAATCCTTGCTATTTCGCACTCTCTGGGTTGGGTACTCTTAGTTATATTCTTATGCCTGGCTATGGCCTGTTTTTAATCTTTTGCCCTTCCTGCTTCAGGCCCATTTAAGATTAATGGAGTTCCTTTGAGACGTGTTAGCCAATCATATGTGATCGGCACCTCCACAAAGGTTGATATTTCTGGAGTTAATGTCGAGAAATTTGATGACAAGTACTTTGCCAAGAAGGCTGAGAAGAAGAAGAAGAAGGGAGAAGGAGAGTTTTTTGAGGCGGAAAAAGAGGTTGGTTCATTAAATTTATTATTCTTTGTTATTGTTTTTTTAAGTTGGTCTTCTGATCTAGCTTACTACTTCATTCCACTTTATTCGTTTTTCATTGTGTTTTCTTTTATTCTTTCCAAATGCAGGAGAAAAATGTCATCCCCCAAGAGAAAAAGGATGACCAGAAAACCGTGGATTCTGCCTTATTGAAAGCCATTGAGAGCGTCCCAGACTTGAAGGCTTATTTGGGGGCAAGGTTTTCTCTCAAGGCTGGCATGAAGCCTCATGAGCTAGTCTTCTAAGAGAATACGAGTCTTAGCTTTGATTTTCCTATTTGATCTTGAAGTTTGCTCTTGTAGTTGTACTCTTTCTTTCTTGGCTATAGACTTCAAAAGGATATGATTGTCATTTTAGGTTACCTGCTGGTCCAGGATTTTCCCTCCTTTCAATTTTGCTTTTGTGAACTCTTAACTAAATCTACAAATTTGTTATATATTTCCAGTCTTGGTGAGTTTGCCGAATGGTTGTTTTCATTTGGCTGGGCACCTTTAAAAGGTGACATCACAAACGAAACGTGTGTTATGAGCTTACGGATCCGTCGAAACATAGATACCCATTTCAGGGTTTGTAATGTGACGAAACAAATTACAATAGATAATTTCGTTCGTGCTAAGTTATCACGTGGCGTCTTAAAATCTATGTATCTCACTTTCTGTAAATATGTACTTTGGAGGGTAATTATATCGATTTAGCTCACAGGGACGCGGAACTCAACATATTATGTTCAAATTACAGACAGAATTATAAACATTACAGCAAACTATCTGTCTTCGAAGGCAGCCTCTTGAAGAAATTGCTGGGAACAGAAGGTAGCTTGCTCCTAAACCTCGGGTGGCGCAAGCAATACACACCGGTGGCCATAGCCACCAATCTAAACGGTGTTGCATAGAGAACTATGGCCACAGAAAGGCTGAAGAAGATGAAGATGGTGGTTGCTCTGGGGTCTCTCCAGCTCCACAAAGACTGAATCCTCTCACCTTGTGCAGCTATGTCCCCAACCAGAGTCTGAATTCTCCCTGCAATACTTCGAAGCCTGTCATACCTCATCCTCACCACATCATTGGATCTTGAAGTTGGGAATGTATCAAACTCCTCATCAAGTTCATCTGGCTGTACAGTATCTGCACTAGATAGCTGAGGATCCATATGAGAAGGGTGTCTGGGACGGGACCTATAGTTCAATATTCCAACGAAGAATATATATAAAAACATGGTTGGAAGTATCAAGTCTGGGTGGAAGATTAGTATCAGAAACAGAACATGAACCAGAATGGATGTGATAGGGTTCTTCCACTGGCAAACATCGTTGAACCATCTTTGGATTGAGATCAATCTGGATAAGAGTGACATGATTCGAAAGAAGTTTGCTTTGCTTCTTCTTATGCTCCACAAATGAGAATCCACATCCAACATATACTCCACCACTTCCTTTCTCAAAGGGGGTTCAGCTCGGCCAAGCCTCATAGCTACTATATTCATGGCTTGGTATCTTAAATTCTCTAACTGGTTCACTGTAAATGGGTGTAAATAATGCATCTTGGGTAGCAAAGGATGGCCATAAATTTGAATCATATTGACAAGTGAGAAAGTAGTGAACCTGATTGCAAGTTCAAGCTCACCCATCTTCTTAACCCCAAGTGGATGCAAGACAAGAAGTGGGTAAGAATGGATGTGGGTCCTATTACCTTCTAGCATTGAAAGCCGAACTCTTACCTTCCCGATTTGTGAGTCAGGGGTTGAATTTCCATCTTTCAAGTGGCAATTATCAAAAACTCCCAGTGTTATCACAGTGCAAGGATCATAAACCTCCCATGTGTATTGCTCATTCCATCTAGGATTGAAAGTATTGAGAATTGTCCTCGTGCGGACCCATTTCTGGCCGTACTTAGCGACACAATAAGCATCAGTGCTGCCATGTCCATCCTTCATCTTCATTGGAAGAAGGCTTTGTGCTCCTAATACACCCACTTCAAGAATCCCAATGGGAGGCTTCCATAGCTGTCTTGATGTTGGTCTTTGATCGCTTGTGTAAAAAGCTGATTCATCTAGCACATGATATCCGCCTTCAAGACAAACTCTCATGTGAATTCTACTTGCAAACTTGAGCTCATTCCTTCTATCGCCTTCCATCAGTCTAAAACCATGTTTCTCAAGAGGAAACCAGCGAGAATGAACCGGCCTGTGGTCTAGCCGTTTGTCAAAATGCAACAATGGCAAGTTTATCTCCCCTAGAACCTCAGGGCGGACATGATCCTCCACAGTAATCACTAGGTGCTCCTCAAAAGGTTCCGCAACAACAAAAATCAAATCTTCATTCCAAAGTGGAGTGGTTGTCGGATGTGAACATATCTTGGTCCTAAGTACTTGGTTTCCAACTTGGGCTTTCACGAAAACCTCTGGCAGGCGGTTTCTGTCGCTGGGAATCACATCTTGAGCTTCGATGATGTTGACCCTAAGATACCACAGTTTTGGTGAGACATAAACCTTTGGCCTGACATTGAATATACCTTCTCCATAAACTGTGGCTGCATCTGAATGCCAGGCATCTGAAAAAGCTTCATCAGCTTGAGTTCCCATCCACACTGCAAGCATAATGTCACCCATGATTTTCCCTTCTCCTCTCCAATCCTCAAGTCTGTACCATTGAGGAGCCAATGGGCTCTCTGGTGGGACTCTGGTTGGTACCTCGTTAAGGTCGAAAACCACCCTCCCAAGATAATCATCTTTCCTCACCATTTCCTTATCCTTCACGAAAACTTCCAGCACAGAGGACTGAATCCGCTCTTTCGAGAAAGCGAAGACTTGGTCCCACTCTGGGTTCAACTTCTTCTCAACGCACTTTGTTCTTCCTCTGTAATTTCCAAGCTTCACTTCAACGTAAGCATCACGGCTTCCCGTCATGAAGCTAGGAGTAATTTCTTTTGCTTTCACAACTCGAACATACAAATAGGACATCTGCTCAACTAGATCATACGTGCTTGTGAACTTCTCACCCTTTGCACCACCACGCGTCCACCCTCTTGCTATTCCACCGTACGACCACCTCTTTCCGAGCTGTGGATTGGTGTCCTTCACTTTGAAGTCCTCATCATTTTGACGAGAATGGACTTGAGAACTCACTGGGTGAACATTTGTTAATGAAGTAACTCTCGGCCGTTTCTTTATGGAAATAACTGGCTGCTGCATAGCTTGGTGTTTGTGTAGCTGTTGAGCTGTCTCTTCCACAGGTTCTCTGCTTTCCTCCTTTGGCACATCAACCGTTTCGTCAATCCCGCTGGACTTAGCCTCTGCTTCAACTGAGGAATTTACAGCACAATCAAAGTTTACTCCCTCTTTGGCAACTTCTGGAGCATCCATGTCAGGACCTTCTGCTATTTCTTTCTCAGTGAAGCCTCTATTTTCCAGAAAATTATCAGTAGATGTAGTAGCAGCAGTGGAATCTTGTACCTGTGGTAGAGAAGATGAGATTTCTTCTACTTGTGCGGTAAATGATGGAGAAAGAGCTTTCTTGTGTTTGGATTCTGATGCAAAGTATAGTTTCAGGCCAATCTCACCCTTCACAGGTGAGAAAATCCATTTCTTTTCTAACGGGAAAACTTGATAGACTTCCTCACCTTCCTTCACAATATTGGAGCAAGGAATTCTCACCCTTCCAAGGAAGTTCCTCCCACTTATGGGCCTCCTCTCGTTGTAGACCGACACTTCGATAGTTTGGCGATTGTAAGGTTTGGTTTGATCTAAATGAAAAATCAACTTGTGATTCCAAGTGGGGTTGAGATTCTTTGGAACAGCTCTGGTTCTGCTCAACTGATTTTCAAACTCTACCTCCACAAATGGACTCGCTGATCCTTCTCCATCCTTAGGCATAAGATCGTGAGCATCAATGACCTCCACCACCAGCTTCATTTCCTTGTCTTGTTACCCTCACTGTCACAAGAAGCTAAAGCTAAATGACCTTTCACAAGTGAACCTGAACCGAAATATTATTTGAAACAAGAAAGTATGTTCAGCATAAGAAGGCAAAAGATGGCAGAAAGAACAGTTCAGTTCTCAGTTTTCACACACTGATACTGCCACTTTGGTTAAGCAAAGAATAATTTGATGGAGAAGCTGCTTGAGGAAAGCTTCACATTGGTCTAACGTAAAGCTGACCCATTCTTTTGGTACGAAATGCCTTCGGATTTTTAAAATAGGATATGAACGAGCTGTTCTAGCTCTCTGTTTACAACGTAGGAGTTGCCTCAAGACCCAAACGGGATTAGCTGAATCGAAGGGGGAAAGGAAAAAAAAAGTATGGTTTTTTATTTGTATATATGTGCATGGGGATCAGTTCTTTCTTCTATGTTGAGCAATGCAAAAGTGAAGAAAAGTGAGGGAAACAGAGGTTGAAAGGCACAGTAGAAGCTGCAAGAAAGGAAGCGAAGGCAGGCAGCTTCAGAGTTTTTGGGAACTTAGCCAACGCTGCTTTCCCTGTGCTTTATTCCTTCCTGGGACGTTTGGTTTGTCAATATTTTAAATCGCAAGAGCTTGTGACTTATAATACCCTAAAAAGTGTTTGGTATATAAAAATTTTATTTTCTTTAGTATTTTTAAACTTAATGCTTCTTTTGTGCATTGTGCGAAGTTTTAGATGGGTTGCACTATTCATAACTTGATTGTTTGTAGCTTACTGTGAAGTCCATATTTTGTAAATTTGGGGGAAATGACCTGACTAATTAACAAATTAATTAGGAAAAAGGACCAGATTTAGAATTTACAATTTTTCTTTCACAATGTGCATTTTTTTCTGCTGATTCCGCACTTTTTCTTTCATATTCTGTAATTTAAGAGGTGTTTGGATGTCATGATAAGTGTTTTTTAAAATTATTTTTTTACAAATTGAAATAAACTCCTCCACATATTTATTTTGTATATCATAAAATCACTTTTAAAATTATAGTTTAGTTTCCATCCAAACACTCTTTTAGATCTTTCCCTCCCATTATTTGTTGACCAGGTTCTTTACTCCAATTTTTCCAATTTTATATAAATATTATGATACTTAGATTTTTTTTAAGAAAGAGAGAGAATTGATTAATTTTTAGGACCAAAACATTAAAGAAAAGATAGAAAAGCAATAGGTGAAATTGAGACCAAATTATATGAGTTTGTGTGACGCAAGAATAGAGATCTTATTGAATACAAAACAATGAACACGAGCACACTTAATCGACAATTAATGACAACAATAATAGTAAAGGGCAGTTTTGTTCTAGTATTTATTAGGGGTGTTTAATTTGTCTTGTCCCAATCATCCTGTCCTGGTACTGGTGAGTTCGGGACGGGATGGAATGGGATGGGATGCAGGACGGGATTGTCCCGTCCCGTCCCGAAATTTTTTTCTTTTAAAAATTATTTATTAATAATAATTATTAGATTATTTAATTTACTTATTAATAATAATTATTATTATTATTTTTATAGTGATTTTTAGCTCTTAAGTTGTAATATTATCTCAATAAAATATTTTTTCTCAATAAAATAATTTATAAAGTCATCATATAGTGTTTCTGTTACCGTTTTTTTTTATAGTATTGTTTTTATATTATATAATTGAGTTTTTTACATAATATTTTCTTATAATGTTTTTATCTTTAGAAACCCAATAAAAATAAGCACTATAATATAAAAAAAATTTTAGATAAAAAATTATAGTTTTTTTTAAAAAGGGAAGCGGGAAGTCCCAGTCTCGTCCCTGTTCTGTCCCAGTCCTGACGAGACCGGCATTGAACGAGACAAGACATAGGACAAAAGCCCTGTCCTGTACCTGTTCATCGGGACGGGCCTGTCCTAGTCTCATCCCGTCCGTGAACACCCTTAGTATTTATGCTATAATTTTTCAAATATCAAATAAATTTTGCTTGATATATGTTGACATTTTTATTTAATGATTAAAATTTATATATATTACAGGAATTTTGATTTAAAAATTTCTACTCACTCATTTTTTTAATTTTTTTAAACAAATCATATGATATCATAACTTAATTAGATTTTTCTTGCCGGAATAACATTATTACATTAACAGCCCAAAATTCTGACAAAAAGTAATTGGTTTTAATAAAACTAAAATTTTAATTTATTTTATCTTTTATATTTATTATTTTTTTAAACTGATTTATCTAACTGTTATATGGGGATATTCTGCAGAAATCAGGTTTTATTTGTTAGAATTAAGAAATTTATTTCAAAAATAATTAAATAGTTTTTATATTAAAAATCCAAAATATGTTGAGTGCCCCTGGTTTGGGAAAGGGCACAACCGGTTTTTTCGACCCGAAACCCATCACCGGTTTGAGAAAGCCCCAGACCCAGGGGAAACCCCCAGCCGAGTCGCAGAGAAAAATGCTCACCACACATGCTAACTGTACTTCGCGCCGTTGTGAATCGTCTCTCCCGCAAGATTGGGCCATCAATACTCTCTCTCTCATACAAATAAAGAATTCAGCCTTTCTTTCTCTCTCTTCCCCTGTCCCCGGCCCTCCCTTCAGTCCCTACTAGAACCTTCCAGTTCAATACTTCTGATTAGGGTTTTTCCGGGGTTTAACTCTCTCTCAATTGCCACCACCCATATCCATCATCTTTCCAAAACTCCACCTTTGATCATTGATTAACACGTCCTTAGGCTCCAATATGGTTCGCTCCAATGGCGTCAGACTGATTCGATGGGCTGCTCGTCGATCTCTTGCGTCAAACTACCTTCGTGACGCTGCGAACGACGTACGCGGCCTCCTCTTTTGACCTCTTTTTATTGTTTTAGGGCTTGTTACAGACTTTTTTAGTGATCGTGATCTGGTAATGTGGGAGTTCTTCTTTTGGTGCGAATTGCAGATACACGAGGCTGTGTCCCAAAGAGGCTACAAGACATTGCATTCAGGGATTTGCAAGCCGTCTAGAATTACTGGAAGTTACGCTTCAAACGGTATTTGCTAAAATCACATCTTTTGCAAACTCATTGTATAGCTTCCTCAATGATAAGGAAAGCGTTGAACCACCCCCTCCCCCAAAAAAAAATTTCTGTTTTTGAATTGTGGTGTTTTGTTTTAATTATACTTCTTAGACAAATGAGAATTCGTTGCATGGTGCGACAGTTTTCCTTGGGAAATTGATTTGCATTATTATTGAGTGCTGACTCTGTTGCACCCTACATATTTTCAGTTGGAGATGCTTTTACTATGCAGAATCGGTTGCTATTGGGAGCAGTGAATACATATTGGGGCACAACTAGATCCATTCATGGCACGGGTATGAATCATCTCTTTGCACCTGTGCAAACTTCGTTTCTGTTTTTTCTGGAACCACATTCTTACGCAGTAGTAAGTGCCACAAGAGTTCGTCGAGGGTGGCTGGGATTGGAATTCGTTAGCCGTTAGTGTTGTTAATGACCCTTGTCTATCGATGGGTGGCTGCGGTTTGTTGTAATTGGGCTTGAACGCTTGGATGATGAATTGAGTTCCTTTCCTCTATCTCTTGTTCCCTGTTCTCCATCCCTTTATTCCCTCTCTTCTTTTTTCCTCTCTCTGTCCTATATTTCTGAGAAAAGCATTTGAATAAAGGCTCTGCTCTTTATGTCTTGCATTTTGTCTCCCTGTTTATCTTTGTGGTTAGGACTGGTGATAATACTGTTATCCTCTGCTTCTCTTCTTTTTGCCCTACATTTCTAAGGAAAGCGTTTGAATAAAGGCTCTGCTCTTTATATCTTGCATTTTGTCTCCCTGTTTATCTTTGTGGTTTGGACTGGGGATAATACTGTCATCCTCTGCTTAGCTGATCCTTTTCTCGTTATGTCTCCGATGAAACAGGATGAGATTTTACTTATTCCATGTTCAACTTGTCATTCAATTTTTCCCATTTTTATGAGTGACCCTTTCTATGCGTATTCACTGGCCCTGGTGCGTAAATGACTTATTCTGCCCAAAACTCCTTCGCAGCTTCATTGGCGAGAGATTATTATGATGTTCTTGGTGTGAGTAAGAATGCAAGCGCATCTGAAATAAAGAAAGCATACTATGGGGTAAGTTTTTCCCAGCTGTTTCCTGGTCAATCGTACAATGCCTTGTCCATATCCTGGACACAGGGTATGACGTTTTCATTTTCCATCTCTGCATCCTCACAGTACTAGCGGACCATTAAAAAGTTTTCTTTTACAAGAGAAATGCGTCCATTTGCAAATAACCGACTTGTATTCGGTTTAGTGGCATGACGTGCAGTTTATTTTTGTCTTGTTAATTTTACCCACGGTTTGATTTGGAATCCTGTATCTGTTTTTTTATTTATTCATGTGTTCGATTTTTATACTGTCTACTGCATGAGTAAATCTGTGGCAGAATACTTCCGCTCAAAAATGTATTGATGTCTACACTATTGAAGTGTATTTTGCTTTGCTGTTATGAAATATATTATGCCCCCCTGCCCTTCTTTCTCTTTTCACATGAATTCTTCTGGCAATCTTGGCTATGATATCAATAGCTGCCTGAATTTTTATTTTTATTTTTATTTTACTTTGCCTGCTATCTCAGTTATTGTCTACATTTTGTAGCTTGCAAAGAAGCTCCATCCAGACACAAACAAAGATGATCCTGAGGCTGAAAAGAAGTTTCAAGAAGTTTCGATGGCATATGAGGTATAATTCTGTTGTTCTTGTTATCACCCTGAACTCTGGTAGCTTATATAATCTATTACTTGTTATTTTTTTTTTTTTTTTCTTTGGCCAACTCCTCTGATGTAGGTATTGAAGGATGAGGAAAAGCGGCAACAATATGATCAGGTCTCATGCCTCCCCGGAAATTTCTTGGTTCCCTTATCTATCATTTTATTGCTGTTGCTATATGCTATTCTGAAACATTAGGGTAAATTGTAGAATTGTGCTTGAAAAGTTATCAAATGGGAGAATGATAGCGAGTTATAGTTTATTAAAAAGGAGGTGACCGCAAATGGCTGTATTAAGTGTAATAACCCTCACGATAGACTTCTATTCTATAAAGATGGTATTTGTTGAAAGAGGTCAAGGAATTGAAAGGGCCTGAGAGAATAGGGAACATTTTCTTGCATGACGATAAAATGAGGACATCTTTACTCCCTCATGTTTGCCAATGAAGTGAAGATGATATTATTATTATTATGATGATGATGATGATGATGACTCCTCCTCCTCCTATTATTCAGAATTTGAAATGTGATCAGTTTCATGTATTGCATTTTGCTAATGCTTTTTGTTAAACTAGAAGACTTATTTTTTTGCCCCCCCCCCCCTTTTTGTGTGTGCGCGCTTGAAAAAGGGGGGTGGGGGGAGGCGCTGCATATGATTACTAAAAATTAGTGTATTTCTGGTTGCTAAGATATCACTGCCCAGAAATTTTTCCTTCTACGCTTTTTGTTGTTCAACCCAGAATTATTTGACATGCCTTTTCCCCTTCTTTTTAGAGGAGTGAAGAAACCTCATAGAGGGCAGATTTGGAAGGTGGATGATATACTAGACACGATAATTTTTTAGAACTCGTTTTCTTGATGTTAGTGAGCTTGTAGATCATAGATGTGTATGATGTGCTTGTGTGTATAACTCGTGTTATTATTTCTTGGCTGTTAATGTGAATTGCTTTGCTAATTTGTTGAGTCAATTCTATCGTATCTATTGAACGTGAATCTGCAGGTTGGCCATGATGCCTACGTAAATCAACAAAGCAATGGTTTTGGAGGAGATGCTGGCTTTAATCCATTTGAGCAGATATTCCGTGATCATGTAATGACTTGCCTCATTCCATCTCTTACTCTTGTCCGCCTGTAACTTTCATTTTTTGTTATGTAAGTCAATATGTATTGTTTTAGAAAATATAGATGTATAATAAAACCGATATGTGGTGATTCTTAAATTTTATTTTTGAATCTTTTTTATATGCTTTCCAAATACCCAAGTAGGAGACCTTGAGTAAATATACAACCACCGGGATTATTAGTTCAGACTTGAATCTAAATGAACTTCGGTGGTCCTCTTCTACATTTGATTTTACTCATGTTTAGTTACATGGTGTAATTGCTTTGTAAATGTATCCAAGATTTAATGTTGGGCACCATGGCATTTTGGATCAGCTTAGTTACTCGTTCTTCTGTCCTCACTCTTGCTGCTGTAGTTTCTAGGAATCATATGCTCTGTAAGTTATAGAAGTATCTCTAGAATTCTAATGCGTTGATCTTTTATGATTTGGCATTGCCCTCAATTATGAGCAGGATTTTGTCAAGAACTTTTTTCATCAAGGTGTTGGTGGAGAGGATGTCAAGGTTCTGTCTTTCTTAACACTTGGACGACCTTAGGTGTGCTATTAAGTTGTTTAATATAAAGCATTTCACGGTATTATATTTTGTACAGACCTTTGTTGAACTATCATTTATGGAAGCTGTTCAAGGATGCACCAAAACTGTGTCATTTCAAACTGATGTGCTTTGTAATGCTTGTGGTATGCCCATCATTTTAACTATTGTTATACATTTCTGGTCCGCTGATCCTATTATTTGTCAACTTTTTCTTTGTTGTTCAGTTTTGTTAGTAGAGGCAATGCAGTTAGAGGTGAAATTTTCAGCCTCATTATTTATTCTGCTGAGCTATTGCAGGTGGTAGTGGTGTTCCTCCTGGAACAAGACCTGAAACTTGCAAACGCTGTAAAGGGTCTGGGGTGGTGAGTAATTTCTTGATGTGAAGCTTTTTTTTTTTTTTAAATTTGTGGCAGGCTTTAGTTTTAGTTGTCAAATTGATATTCTGTGATATATTTCAGAATTATGTACAAGCTGGAATATTCAGGATGGAGAGTACCTGCACCACATGCAAGGGAACTGGAAAAATTGTATCGGTATGATGCACATTCTCAATTTTTTTTGGTGTGGATATAATCCATCTATCTCTTGTTTATGATTTTATTGTTCTTGATATATAAAAGGATTCTTTCCTATGAGGAATTTGGGTACCCTTTTTGGCAATGA